ATTTTATGTTCTAATGTTTATTGTGAATCACCCAGAGTTCCCCCATTGGGGGGAGATGGACGGTTGAAAAATAAAATAAAATAAAATAAAATAAAATACATACCTGGCTGTGACACTCAGAGGCAAGTTAAAAAAAAAACAACTACACTGTCCCTTTCAACATAATTGATAATTCTTTTAAAAACAGAGATTCAGAGTAGTGGTAAGAAATGGAAAATCCAAGACCTAACAAAAGCAATGCAAAACTTACTATTTTATTTATGTATTCATTCATTCAATTTATATAGCTGCCTATCTCACATATGTGACTCTGGATGGTTCATACACTTAAAAACAGAAAATAATAAATAGTTACAAATAAACAACCAAAATAAAAACAATTAAAAACCAATTAAAACAATTAAAACTTAATTTGCAGGAGAGTACAATCCATACAATAAGTAACAATACAACCAGCTAACAGGCTCCATACCACCACTGGATCCCCAGTCAGTATGACAAAGCCTTGTCTTGAGAGCCTTCCGAAAGGCCAGCATGGTCAGGGCCAGTCTAACCTTAGGGGGAATGATGTTCCCAACGGCAGGTGCTGCAGCAGAAAAGGGTCTCCTCCTAGGTCCCATCAGACGATGTTCCTTGATAGATGGGACCAGTAACATGTCTCTCCTGCCAATCCTGATGGGATGGGTAGATCTAACTGGGGAGAGAGAGTCCCTCCAATAACCTGGCCCCTTGCCATGCAGAGCTTTATACGTTATATATTATTGGCACTTTGAACTGAATCTGGAAGCAAACTGTTTTGTATTTTCACGTTCAGTATTTAATTCAGTATTGCTAATTTTAAGATGCAACAGCTATAACACAAAATGACACATTAACATGAAATGCAGAAAATGTTACAACTTCTCACTGTACAGTAGAATTTCATGTTCACATTCTGCAAGTTGGTTCAACAGATGAATCCAATCTTTTTAATAACAGCCTCTCAATACTCTAACATGTCTGTGTAGGTTTTGTTTTCTTTTGCTATCTGAGTATTAAAACAAGCAGAGTGCATCAGTACACTGGGACGACCTTATTCTATTTTTTACTAAGTATTATGTCCCTAATATTATTCTACTCACATCAAAAATCTTCCTTAAAAGTAACATCTAGAATGTATAGTTATCATTATATTATTATTATTATTATTATTATTATTATTATTATTATTATTATTAAGATCTGTATACTCTCCAATCACAGAGATTCCATGCAATTTACAACAGCAAATAAAGAAAATACAGCAGTGTCTTCAAGTTAGTCTTGATTCCCGGGGACTACACGGACAGGTCCCTGCAGTTCTCTTGGCAACATTTTTGGAAATAGTTTGCCATTGCCTTCTTCCTAAGGCTGAGAGACAGTGACTGGCCCAAGGTCACCCAGTTGGCTTTGGGCCTGAGGCAGCACTAGAACTCAAGTCTCCCAGTTTTTACCCAGTGTCTTTAACCACCACATCAAATTGGCTCTCAAATACAGATACGATTGGCCATTTTTTAATTCTTGAATTATGCCAAAAACATAAACCCTTGTGACACCTAAAAAAAAAAAAAAAGTATATATGGGTTGGGGAAGGCAGTTTGGATTCACATCTACTTCACAAGATTCATGAAGTGTTATTAGGTGTACATAAGGCTTAGAAACAGTGAAGGCAATATATATATATATGTATGTATGTATGTATGTATGCATGCATACATACATGCATGCATGCAGGAAATACACACAATGGCACTGATATTATCACAGACTCTTCAAAAAGTTGTGGTGTTGACAGCACAAACTTCTTGGCACTAATAAGCTAGTTAACATAAATAGTATTAGTGACAGCACAAACATTCTGGATTTTAAATAAATTAAAACATCTACTATGAACATAACCTCATAATGTAATCTTAAATCACCACAATATTTATTTAATGAATTTATACGGCTGCTTAACTCAAACAACATGACTCTGGGCGGCATACAGCAAAAAAACAAAACAAAACAAAATAATTCAAAAAATAATCATATAACATTAAAAAACCTATCCAATATATAAAATACAGAACCAAACAGCTTAAACTGTGATTCACCTATTTATATCACTCTTTCCCTTTGAAGTCAGAGAACTGCCACTTCAGTGTAGATTGTCTTAAGAAGTTGGAATAGTTTTCTGAACATTACTGTTCCGGACCTGTTGTTCTACCTCATATTCTAGTCTTAACATGATACACAAAAGTCACATTACACCTCTAAACAGAAACCCTAAATACTCTTACTGTAATACAACATATGTATTTCTAATTGAGTAAAGGTATGCACTTTACATTTTTATATATCACAAATACAAGGGAGGCCACAACAAAAAATGCATAAATATAAGCCATCCTTCTAGAACAGCAAATAAAGGCTATAAATTAAGTATAGCACCAATTATGAAGTTTTATGAAAAGGGTAGCTATTCCAAATGATTTCAGAAGCCAACTATATGGAAGGATTTAAATAATAGCATTTCAGCTGTATATTTTAAAATTACCACTCGAATTCTGCTTGTTTTGTAAGTAATGGATGTATTTGCAGGACACATATACCCATAGGTAAGTTAATCACAGTTTATTCGATTAGCCTATTTGTCTGAAATTAACACGGAACACACTATAACTACAAGGACTGAGTCTGCACAACACACAATGCTAAATGTAGTTTTGTTTTATTGTATCGTGAGAATGCAGCCAAGTTTCCATTTACAGAATCTTCTCAAAGGGCAAGCAAGTTCAGTTGTGAAGCAGTTTCTAAAACACGACAAAAGAGAAGGAAACTTTCAAAACTCCCTAGAGGACAGAGTAAGACCTGAGGGCATGCGTCTCTCGGCTGGCGAGGTTTACCCTAAAAGAGGGCGGCATTGCTCCCTGCCCATTTCAGTGGGTGTAACAGGGGAGGCGAGCGCAAACTAGACGGACGGACTGACGGAGACAAGGAGGGAGGGAGAAGGAGGGTGCCGGCTCGTCCGCGGCCCAGAACAATAGAAAGCGCCTCACTCACCGCACACGCAGCAGGAGAGCGACTGCCGGAAGTAGGGCAGCAGCTTGCCGATCTCGGCCAGGCACTGCGGATCTTCCCCGGGGCCGTAGCTGAGCACCAGGCGACTGGCGGAGATGTACAAGGCCGTAGCATTCACCGGGTTCATCGCAGACGCTGAGGCCAACGGCTCCGGGTTGAGAAGAAAGCGCGGCTCCGCGCCCAGGCAGGGCAAGCCGAGGGGCGGCTGCACTCCTAGCCCCGCATCGACGCGCCGTCACAGCCAGGGCCGGGCCTGCTTTTCTCCACTTGCCTGCTCCCCCCGCCCCCGCCA